TGACTCCGTCTTCTTTGTGGAAGCCCCTTAAATATTGGAAGACTGCTATCATGTCTCCCCTAGTCCTCCTTCTCATTAAACTAGACATTCCCAGTTCCTGCAACCGTTCTTCATATGTTTGAGCCTCCAGTCCCCTAATCATCCTGGTTGCTCTTCTCTGCACTCGTTCTAGAGGAGGAGTTGTTCCAGTTGTTAATTAGGGTCTTGATGGCTGGCTATTAAAGTCCTTAATTGCTTCCTTGGGCCACCCTGCCCTCGGCTCTTAAGTACCTGATAAACCACCGATTGTAAATCAGCACACCTATTGCCTGAGGAAGGGCCCCCGTTTCCCAGGCTTCAATCATTCCTCTGGCTGTTTTTGTCCCGGCTTGGCCAACAATCACAGTAGCTGCAAAATGGAATGCATGTCCTTGTTCATTTCAAGGTGCGGCTACCGATGCATTTGGGTCTCCTTGTCTCACCCTATTCTGGATTCTCTCAATGGGGACGGGGGACATCACTGCTCTTCATTGCTTCGTCCGCTATTGGTCAAGCCAGTTGTGTGAGAAAGGGAACTACCAAAGAAAGGACAAGGGAGATGCATTGGTGCTCTGGCTTTTTCAAAACAGAGATTTTTTTTCAAGTCTTCCCTTCCCTTCCTTTTTCTATTGGGATTGTTCTAAGAGCCACAGCCACCTCCTCCTATGCAGGGACTGACATCACGGTGGTGGACGAGAGGCCAAGCCGCCGGCCACCACAATTGAAGAATTGCGGAGCGGGCGGCGACTTGACACACAGCCATCCTCCCCTGTGTTCTTGCTGTGTAAACGGAGGTGGGGGGGCAGAGAAAGAGAAACAGAGAGACAGGGAGAGAGAGAGAGAGAGAGAGAGAGAGAGAGAGAGAGAGGCATAGACAGAGAGACAGAGGGAGAGAGATACAAGGAGAGAAAGCGATATAGGGAGAGATACAGAGAGAGAGATACAAGGGGGGAGAGAGAAGGAGAGAGAGACAGACGGAGAAAGAGATACAGAGAGAGAGGGAGAGACAGACAGACATATACAGGGAGGGAGAGAGATACAGAGAGAGCAGGAGAGAGAGACAGACAGAAAGAGAAACAGACAGGGAGAGAGAGACAGATACAGGGGGGAGAGAGAGAGAGAGATACACAGAGAGAGAAAGATACACAGAGAGAGAGACAGACAGACAGAAAGAGAGAGAGAAAGAGAGAGATACACAGAGAGAGAAAGAGACAGAGAGAGACAGACAGAAAGAGAGAGAAAGCGATTTGTCTTTTGGAAGCAGAGAAAGCGGCCGGCGTCGTTGGGAAGCTGCAGGAGAGACATTTCCAACAACCCCCCCCTCTTCTTCCTGGAGCCGCCGAGCTGGGAAACGGATCGGATTTCTTTTTTCCCCCCTCCCGGGCGAACTTTGGCTACCCAATCCATCAATCTGGAGAACAAAGTGCCCGAGCAAGGACCCCACCTTTGCTGCTTAGCCCTGGAGGGTCCCGCAGCTGGGTGAGTCTTTTGCAGGAGGGGGGGGAGATTTGGGGAAAGGGGGGAAGGGTAACAATGCTGGGGAGGGGGTGTGGGGGGAGGAGGGGTTTGAACAGGCAGCAGCTTCTGCCCACTCTGCACTGGGGGGTGGGGTGTCGCGCGAGGATGGGATGATGCTTCGGGTCGCAAGGCGGCTGCTTTGTTGCAGACTGCGGGGAGACCCCCCCCCATCCAACACACACAGCCTCCTTCCTCCAGGAGGAGGAGGAGGGGGGTTCAAAGCCAGGCCCTCCACCCTGAGCTTGACCCCCTCCCCACTATCTCCCCCATCTGGGGGTCGCCCCAGCTTTGCGGTGCACCAAAGGGGAAGACTGAGCCAAAAATCTCCGCCTGCAGCCATCCATCACCGGCAGCCTGGGAAGAAGGGGGGGGGGGGAGAGGAAAAGCACCGCAGTGGATGGGGATGGGACACACACACACACACCGACGGGNAAATCCCAGTAAGGGTATGGCTAGCTGATGAGAGCTAAATAGCTTGAAATAGATTTATACTAGTCTCCCTTTATTTATTTATCAGCACAAATGCAGAGAGAGAGAGAGAGAGATATTTCAAACACACAAATAAATAAGCATTTTTGGACTAGCATGCTGGACATGATGAGATTTTAAATAGTCTTAAAAGTCAGGCGATACGTCAACTCAAAAATCCTATAGAAGGAGAACAGGGGAAACAGGCTAGAAGTTACTAATTAACCATCACTTCTTAGCTTGCAAGTGAACATGTAGAAGGCTCAACTGATTATAATTTTTCTCACTATGGTAGGTTATCTTTAAATTTAAATTTTAGCAATTTCATCTATACTTGCTTCAAGACACATATGTCAGCATATGTATTTTGTGTGTGATGTTTTTCCTCTTTTTGTTTGATGCACATCCTACCTTTGAACAATTATTTCAAACACTGAATGGATGAGTATATAGTGAGGACCCTTTTGATGAGAGATGCCTTCTACAATGCTCCACCTTTCAATTACAAAGCGACCTTTGTCCTTCATTATCCTGAAATGAATGCAAATCATGATATACCAAACTAAAAGGATGCACTGCATATAGAGATCATTTGGACTTATATCCTTCCCTGCATCAACTCCATTTGAGATGAATCTACATTTAAATGCAAACACATCATGGCTGATTCAAGGAACATAAATTTTGCCCAGTGTCCAGATATAAAAAGTACACTTGTCAAGAAATAGTAGATGATTGGGGGGAAATATTTTATGCTTGCTTATCTCCAATCCATGGTAAGGTGCCAATCTTGATTCTTCTACCCTGTTTCCCCAAAAAGAAGACCCAATTAGAAAATAAACCCTAGCACGATTTTTTTAGGATGCTCGTAATATAAGCTCCAGTTAAGATCATCAGCCAGATGGGCGCAATTAGTACCATAGTATCCCTGAAATAAGGCCTAACCAGAGAATAAGCCTTAATGCATCTTTTGGAGCAAAAAAGTAATATAAGATAATATGTCTTATTTTTGGGAAAACATGGTATGCCTCTTCTATTTATTAATGGTACTATTTTAAAGTTGGAAATATGGCAAAATGAGTCATTGGATTTTGAAGAAATGGGATAGAAATCCTATTGATGCATTTGAAAGTTCTCTCCTGAGAATACTATGCTTATTCAATAAAACAAACAGTTTTATTGTTACCCTAACGGTTTGGCCCGGTTCGGCTGAACCGGTAGTGGTATGCCAGCCTGGGTCGCAGAACTGGTAAGGACCCAGGCTGGCCACACCCCTGGACCGGTTCCCCAGTCGCCGCCATTGCCGCTGCCATCTTTTTTTAGTTCTGCGCAATTTCTATTGAACTCTGCATGCA